TTGGGACGTGGTCTGTGTTCACAAGGCGAATACGGTGTCCTTCCATAGTAGGTGATGAGCTCAACACAAGTCCATTGTTTTCACCACGTTTGCCACAGCCCAATACCCTCAGTGGCTGGTCCAAGTGGTGTTGCAGCTCTATCAATCACCCTCCGAGGTCCTCACTGGATTTGATATTGATTCCTGCGCTGTCTGCTTTGACGGTAAGTACTTGTTCAATGATAACTTCAATGTATTAACACCTGTCAGGACATTCGATTTGGGCAAATCCTCGAGCAATGGCTGTGTTGATCCGTCAGTGCAACGCTCTCGATATGAGCAGGCGCTCCCCGTTGTACGAATTCCGCCTGGCAAAGTACGCAAAAAGGGGATTCAAAGTGTATTTTCTGGAGTTGGAGAGGGACGCAGTCGACCTTGGTGTGAGTAGCTTGCAGCAATCCAAGATCATTTGCCTCATTGATGTGTGCTACGGCAGCTCTATGACAGCAACATCATGCTCATACCCAACAGCTTGGCCAGGCTGCTCTTCCTCGAAAAGATGGCCCAAGACCACTTCCACTACATGAGCTATCGTTTTCCGGGTGTTCATGTGAAGTTCGAGCCAAAGGATGGGGTAAAGTTGTTGTCCAAAAGGCACAAGGGCCGTAGGAACCCCCCAGACGAACTTGTTCCTCGCAACAACTACAACCATACGATGTTCTCTATCCCGTACGGCTTGGGATGGGATGCAGAGTGGGTGAAGGCACTCATTGAGCGTGTGGTACGACATTTGGTGGTCTTGTTCAGTCCTCATTCATCAGATTTCTTTACAGGAGCGCAGGATCTCAGGCATGTTTATCTCAAATGCATAATCAAATTCAGCAGATGTGAATCACTCTACTAGACCCCAACAATCCAATGAACGACAGGCGACGCCTTGCACAGGCATTCTATCTTCGTGTCAGAGAGCCTAGACAATTGCTTCGGATGAGTCTGCAAGGTGAGGTTTATTGGGAGCAATCAACAGGATGCTGAGACATAGTCTAGACCTGTCCGTCACCCCGTGACACGGAGGAGAGGAAGTTGCAGGCAAAGGAAGACAGGATGTACATCTGAGGGAGGATCAGGTGAGGCAGGTTTGTCGACATTTGAGTACCCGTATAACCTGCGTCCAGGTTCATGACCGCCAACTCTGGCAGACAGATGATATCAGGAAGCTTCAATCCGATTACGGCCAGCAACTGGACAGCTGGGGCGTACCACAGGTAAGGTTTGGGGTGAGAGGGGCGCTGCACCGTGTTGTAGCAGTACTTTGTTCAGCCTCATGTTATTGAAACAACATCAAGAAGATGGATCCTTGTGCTTGGAAAAAATGCGACTGATTGAACATAATGAGGCTGATAAGAAACTGCACAGGCGGAGGACCGGGGAAAAAAATGAGGTCCTTGTGAACCAGGAGTTTGGAGTTTGCTCCAGTGAGACGGACAACTCTCAATTGGGAACGGTCTTGCCTGTTTCGGGAGGCCTGTAAGTGCCTGTTGTAAAAATGAGGATGATGGGGGTGTCAAGCCCCACTATGCAAAGAACAGCGATGATGGGTCCTTTGTACGTCTCCAGTCTTAATTCTCACTATCACTGGGGTAGCGGTAAGTACTCCGCCAAACATACAGGTCGGATAATTCCTCACCTTTGAACCAGATTATCCCATGAGCATCGCCTCTCCTCTGCCGTCAATGAGAGCCGGGATGAGCTATTGAACGGCGATGGAGAGGAGCTATCGAACAGCGACGGAAGGCTATCCCTACCACCCTGACAAGGTGGATCGCCAGCACCAAGCACCTGATCACTCGCCACAGGTTCTTGCGCACCCTACCCAATTGTTGAACAATGGTCGCTTTTCAACAGGCCTCTACGACAACCGAGTGCATTCCTCATCCTCTCTCTCCTCTCAGTCGAGAACTGGTCATAATGGCCACCGCTTGCACGGCCATTATAATCCATTATGCAGCGGGACAGATCACCCAACAGGCTTGGGGAGGGGATTGGATTCATACAGCTTGAGATCCCGTTACATGGATGCCCAGCCTCATTCCCAAGATTGCATGGAAACGTCTGCAACAGGGAGAGATTATCAGCTGGGTATTTCTTCTTACACAAATGAAATCTTACCGTTCACCACTCGGTTGGGAAAGAGTGCCGCGAGGCAGGTTTTACAATTTGATGCGAGCCTTCAACCTCCTCCTCCAAAGGCCAACCTTCTGCCTGAGAGTGGATGGGGTATCCCTTCTCGAACTTCACAAGGACCTAGCAGGACTTCAGGCCACTCCGTCACAAGAATGCAGCCTTTAGATGGCAGGCATTTTCGCAACTCTTTCGCATCCTCGACCGATCAAGAGCTTCCCAGACCTCATTCCAGTCAATCTGGCCTGTTACTGACAGCTCACAGCGAGGCCCTGCTTCCATCTACTATGCAAATTGGTCCATTGAACAGTCTTCTGAACAATCACACATCGTCGCCGCTCATGAACTGTTGCACCTACAAAAACTATCTGCCTTCAGCAGAAGCCCATGAAAGGGTGCCAAGGGCTCGAGCCACAGACCATCATGAAGGCGGAGACGATGACGACGCGGATGATGAAAGTGATGGTCATGCCCTCCCTGTAGGTCTATCAACTTTCTAACATTGACAAACCGGCATGCATGCTGATCGAAGCCGCAGAGGAACAAGAGAGGAACAAGGGCGCCAATTGCGCACCAAGGCTGCAACAATGTGGTGCGTAGCACCCTCTTTCATGTCCAACCGCTCACCGAGTGTTGAGAATGTTTGATCTAGACATCAAGTCCAGAGGCCCAAGGACCATGTCAAGGGCAACTTGCGCTACTCAGAAACCTCAGAAAGCTGGTCGACCAAATTATAGAACGTGTGGACACCCAGATCACTGATCTTTACAAGTCCGAGGATGAACAACCTGGTGGCCTTGCAGGAGAAGGCGGCGATGTTAGGAGATGGACGAATGCTCAAAACCTTGAAAAGGTAAGCTTCGTCGTTTGCATTTCTCGGAGGTACTGCTCATGCTTTGTCTCAGGAGCAGATATGAGATCACTTTGAGGAGTTGCTGGGAGGCGATGGATCTGGATACAGCCATCAGGCATCGCCTGAAGAGGTGGCTGAATACGCAGAAAGATGTGCTATCAATGGTGTGCACAAAGAACGACAGTGCTGCGACTCCGATATGTTTCGACTCGATCTCCAAGGGCAAGCTCAAAGTGCATGGAATCGTTCGGCAGCTGAAGTCTTCGCCCTTGACTTTATCAAGAAAAACAATCTGGTTTCGAGCACCCACAGGAGAGTAATCTACTTGTTCTTCCAGCACCTCAAATATCTCCAATGTAAGCTCAAACTCAAGATGCGAGGAGATGCTGCGGTAGCTGCAGCTGCACAGAGAAACAGGCGAGCTTTGAGGAGAGATTCAGTGAGTTGAACTCAAAGGAGCTGAAGGAGATACTAACGGCTTACATAGCTATACCACCGACAGTTGAGGACTGCACAATGGAACGAGTTCTTGAAGCACCATGTTCGTATTATCAAGGCCCTGGGAGTGAACGGGATGTCCAGTGAATGNNNNATGTCGATGGGGACATGGTGGGTTATTGGGTACGCACGCCCGAGTGGAGGTCGCCATCCTTGACAAGCTGGTTGCATGCCATTGACTTGGTGTACATGATGGAAAGAAGGAAGACCAGGATCAGAGGAGCTCTCCCTCATCTACGCATCTATGCTCTGGGCCCGTTCAGCACAAGTGAAAGATTCGTGGCGGGATTGCCAATCAACACATATT